ACCTTTGTTAGCATGAATATCTAGGATTTTAATTTTCATCCTTTTATTCTCAATCTGCTCAAGTCGACAAATTACCTTTTGTGACCAAAAAAGAAGGTTGAATAATTAATAACCATGATCTAATGAGAATAGATGTTACTTTCCAAAGCCATATTTTAGCTGATATAGTCGAGAGTCCTGATCAAAATAAAAAATGCTTGAAGCTTAGACTTTTAAAAGAAGGACGCTCTAGATCATTTCCTTCTTCAAGAAGCAGTCGACGTGTCGGCCTACTTTGTCACAGATGTTCATTTTTAAGAGAATGAAAGACTGTGATCCTGGTTATAACGAAAATATTCATGCGTTATGACATTAAGATTGGTTGTGCTTTCCTTTCCAAAGAGCATTTTGTTGTCTGGTGACCTCCTCTGAACTGTAGTTAATGTGGGTCTTCTTGGACGAATTACCGAGTTATTTGAAAGCTATAATCCCATGGAAATGATCTCAAGACGTGTTTTTATTTCTCGTTTCCCTTAACAGCATCCCTTCTTGTTTTACTCTCACTGACAGGGAGGTGGGAGGGTGGGAGTGGAGTCGCAACAAATTTCCATGACCCCGTTATCCACCCACCATCACATCACCCCCTTCTTATCACCTCTCCCGTCCCAACCGTACCCCTGCTTATTACCCCTCCTCTGCCCCAATTGCGTCCATCAAACGTCTTATCATGGACAAGACACACTGCGATAGCAGACACCAGTAATTTATTCCGAAGACGCCGCGAAGCAAGTATCTGTGACGCGATGCTTCCGATCGGAGCGGAGACCTCCTCTGTGTTGCTTCCAAGTTCATCAAGGTCCATCTTGTCGGAGGCGATTAGGGGATTTAAACTGGAAAGAAATTTAGGAGACCCCGAAGAACATGCTGGTGCATTACTTGCAATTGTATATATTGCCATCGTGAGAGAGGGGCTTAACACGCGCGTATGGGAGGCATAAATCAGTTGGAGATGACGATTTGTTGAGTGTGATTTGTTTGGCTTTTTAATAATTGTAACAATTTCCATGGTGTTGTCACTCCAGTTTAGTTGCTCTTGTGGGAGGCATAAATCAGTTGGAGCTGATGACTTGTTGGGTATGATTTGTTTGGCTTTTTAATAATTGTAACCATTTCCATGCTGTTGTCTCTCTACTTTCGTTGACTTTGTTGTTGTGCAGTTCGTGTTTTATTGGAAGCATGACACATTACTTATTCCATGGCACTGTTGCACAAAAACTTACCATTGATGGTAACTTTTCCATCAATGGCAACTACCATGGTAACAGGGCTCAACAGCCAATCAAAATCAAGGTTTACATGGTAGTTACCATTAATGGCAAAGTTACCATCAATGGTAAGTTTTGTGCAACGGGCGCATGTGAACGTTAGATAATGGCTATTTATGTTGACCAGTGAGTACAGTGTCTTTCCTATAATGTACAAGGGGAAACCCGAAATGGTTAATCCAAAAGTATATGATTACGAAGTTGCCGATCAACAATTTAACAACACCACATATAAGTAAACTGGGTTAAATAACCATATATATATATCGTTGAAACATATAAGAGCCCCAGTATGAAGCAACGTTGATGTTGACCGAACAACACTCTTCTTCTTCTTCTTCTTCTTCTTCTTCTTCTTCTTCTTCTTCTTCTTCTTCTTCTTCTTCTTCTTCTTCCAATGGACTACATCCCTCTGTCAGTGTATTGTCCAAGACATGGCCAAGGGCATGCGCAGATAGATGAAGCGCATGAGACAGTAAATGGTCTTCCCTGTCAATATTCAAGTCTAAAAATACAGCTAGATAAGCCCTGTCACACTGAGGAGACAGCTCGGGTGCAAATCCATGTAAATCTGTTTGCTTTTTAAAAGATCGCAATCATTAAGTAGTAATCAGCGGCTGAAAACCTATAGCTTCGGTTGACTTGCGTAGCCGGAGCCCTCTGGCCCTCGGATTCCGTTGGCGGATCGAATTTGGTTACCGGTTAGCACCTGCAAGGCTTATTATACATGCATGACATGAAAACCGACGTGAAAAGAGGATGCAATCCGCGGTTAATCCGGAGTATAATGTTCAAGGAAGGGTTCTAGATGTCTGGAGGCAGAGTGGTGGGGATCCTATGGATGATTTCACCCGAAGATCTCGCCAAGCCTTGGGTGCAGACAACAGTGACTTTACGGGGCTTAATGGAAGGGATGTCAAGCTTAGAGATACTCCGAGTGTCAATTGGGAACGATGCCATTTATGTCATATGGCTTATTAAAGAAGAGAGTTATTTAACATAAGCAATTCATTGATGATAACATAAATGGTCCTTTTCGAAAGAAACAAAACGTGAAGCAAAGACGTTGTCCTAATAATTATGAAATGTATACGGTAATTGTATTAACAACATTGTGATATTATTTACATCAATGCTAGGAATTCGTGAAAGTTTTTGCGATAGTTGATACATTTTCTCATTATTTCTCCATCTGATTTTCCACATTTCTCCCCATCCTCTTTCAAACACTTTTTCTTCCTGTGTTCCTTTATCATTTCCTTTCAATATTTTCCACTGCATTCAATCTCCCATTTGAATGTAAACGGAATCCTTTTTTATTAATACGTGATAGAATCTCTATATTACATTTTCGTTCAATCTATTTCGAATTAACCAAACGCAAACTGATGAAACAACAAATGGTGTAGAAATGTAACACTAATATGTTTCCAATGTAAAACGTTGGTGCCCTCCTTGTAGAACCTACAGTGATTGCTTTGGGCAGGTGTATATACTCTAGTGTTAAATGAGAGAGTGATGATGGTGGATCTAAAGCGTGTTTTCTTCGGCTTGCTACACTCAAAGACTCCATTTCCGTCGCAAGTCTAAGAATAACATGGCGATGAAACATTTCGGGAGAAAAAGGAAACAAATGTCTACAAATCGTTTCGTTTGTGATGAATAATTTTTTTTCTTCTGGAGACGCGTAATGGTATTTGAATAAAACATGGGACTTCGATCTATAACAGTTCGGTTCGCAATACGTATGCTTTGAAAGGGGGGTATCACCCCACCCTCGTCCATTTTTGTAAATGATTTTTTCTTTTCTTTTGTCTCTATCTTATTGCATCAATATTACCAATATTTTCAGAAACTAGTATATATAAGCATTTATTTACGGTTTTAGTGATCATACCGAATATTCGGTCTCCTTGCTTGTACCGCTAACATTTTTTGTATCAATGGTTTCCAAATATCGTATGCAGCTGATTCTGACAATATTGAATTAGTCACCAAACATTTCTACTTTTTTTCTACATTACTTCATCATTCAGGAAACGATTTTTTATTTTATTTTTATCATCCAGTTTCCGTCTTCCCTTATTCCTCATGAACATTAACACGTTCCATATGGTTACTGCCAAGGTGCCAAAGCTTCCTAGCATTTAGCCAAACACATGGCCATTTTTATTTTCTCCAAAAATTTCACCAAATCGCCTTTCTCCTAATTTTCCCACTGAAAATTCAGTGCGGATGGACAAGCACATCACATATATGTGCTGAAATATTTAGAGTGACAAAGTATAAGATGCAGTAGGTCCCACACGTGGTTTCCATATATGTGAGTTAACCATCCACGTTCCATACATCCCAACAGAAGATTTAGACCACCTTTTCTCTCAAATGGCTTCCTTACATTTTTCTTACATTTTTTCAATTTTCTCTTCTTCGGTCTTTTTTTTTTCTTTCTTTCTTTTCTCTTTTTTTTTCTGGGGGTGGTCGTTGCAGCGCAATTGTGCAATTTCTTCAATGGAACTGTTTGATTCTTCCTGCCAGATGTTATTTCCATAATTCGCTGTAAAGCCCTTTTTTCCTCCGAGATATCTCCATACATCTTGTAATCTTGTGTTCTCGATGCTGTCTATTTTTATACGCAGGTTCAGACATTGTTTCTGTGTTCTTTCTAAAAATATAACTCTCCATGTTGCACTGGCAGTGGCGGATCCAAAATTGAGAAAAAAATCATGTAAAATCACGTGATTTTAACCTTTTTTGGGGGTTGGGCCCCCCCCCCTGGCGCTCAAGGGGGGGGTGCAAATCGAAATTTTTTTGAGGATAAAAAAAAAAAAAAATGTGCTCACTACCCCCCCCCCCCCACTGAACGAATTTTTGGCCGGCGGGTTTTCAAATTTTCGGGAGCAAAAAAAAAAAAAAAAAAAAAAAAAAAAAAATTGTGCTCTGTACCCCCCCCCCCCCCCCCCCCCCCCCCCCCACTGAGCGACTTTTCGGCCGGCGCGATTTTCAAATTTTCGGGAGCAAAAAAAAAAAAAGTTGGGCCCCCTCCCCTAAGAAATCCTGGATCCGCGCCTGTGCACTGGAATGACCCGCATCAAGATCATGTGTAGATGCATGTATTGTTTCGTTCTGTGTCTTGTAAATTTTGAATCGGGCGCCTTGGAAATAGCAGGATTAATCTGTGAATGACAGGATATTATAATGTAGGCCTACTCAAAAACCGTTCTCACGTTATCACATTTTTTATGATTGGAGGGGGTTTAGAATATGAAAAAGGGATACATGAATACAATTAGAAAGGTATGTCGTATTGGGTTTTAAAAGGAGCACATGTCCCTAGTGCCCCCCCCCCCCCTCCGAGGAACACAAATTAATGTACAAATTATTTACAAACATCAATTAGCGGCCTATATAATACCGTGAATACATTAAAGAGTTGAATTATGTGGGAAGTATCATCTGATCCAAGAAATCAGGAAAATGGTATTATATGTTATTCAAGATATTGTATTCATCGATGTGATGGAGGGATAATTGATATAAATTATTTTTGCGTTCTCTTTTCTTTTACTTTTGTTTTAATTTGTCGAAACCCTGTCAAGATATATAAAATGTCACTGCAATCTGTGATTGTTCTTCTCTTTGTTCTGTTTATTCTAAATGCTCATAATTTCTTATTCATTTTTTATCTTTATGCAGATTTGGTTCAAGAACCGTCGTGCAAAATGGAGGAAACGCGAACGCAATCAACTAAATGAACTCAAGAACGGACTAGGACAACATCATTTTAATGGACTCATGCAACCTTTCGATGAGGGGCTGTATTCGGGATATTCTTATAGTAACTGGGCATCAGCGAAACCTACAGCGCCTATGAGCTCAAAAGGATTCGCATGGCCGCTGAATTCAGTGAACCCCTTGTCGGTGACCAGCCAACCCATGTGTTTCAACCCCCAATCCAGTATGACGACGTCGTTTTCGCCCGCCACGCCCGTGAACGGCGTCGGCTCGCAACTGAACACTCTGAACAATGCAGCAGCAGCAGCCGCAGCCGGCGCCGCGCCTGGCTGCCCCTACGCCACGGCGCCGGGGACGCCGTACGTCTACCGAGAGCCTTGCACGAACAGCATAGCATCGCTACGTCTGAAAGCGAAGCAGCATTCGGAGAGCATGACTAGCATGACGGGCCTTACCTATCCCGTCCGCCAGAGCCCTACCTTCTCGGCCTGCCAGTACGCTGCTGGCCAGTACACGAGTTTCAGCGGACCCTCTTGATTTACGACGAAGTAATGTCATCTATAAAAACCAATTCCAGATTCCTGTACATTTTGCCATGTAAAAGATGAAGAAAGATAATTGAATTATCAAATATTTATGATGTTAGCGATGAGTTTTACCAGAGTTACCAATCGACTTGTGCATTGTCAACACGCCAGAGTAAACGTGCTGCACAGTGCAGAGCTGGCGTTTCGGTTGTTGATTTTCAGTCATCATCATCAACAAAATGACTCTTTGATTATCCATTTAATTTTAAATTACTATGAATAATATTCAAGCGTCATTCGTGCCGGAGTTCCTAATCTTGAGAAGAAATTAAATGTATGCAAAACATATCAATAGTCGTCATGAGCTAGTTTATACATAATTATGTGATTGTAATGTTCCTATATCAAATTCAACACGTATATACCTACGTATATAATTTACGGATCCGATTTTAATACATAAGACCGTGATTACAGCCAATTATAAATTATCATTGCATGATGGTAGTTGTGACATAGCTGTATTTCAAAGGAAAAAACACAATTTATGGACATTCATTCCATGTGCCTTATTTTCTAAAGGTATTTTATTTAGGAAATACGAAACGTTTTCGTACCTACGGTTCCTTTCTTGGTGGTATTTTCTTCCCCGAATTTCTAGCGATGGCACAAAGTTTTATACAGTCATACACTGAAGACAGTCATTGGAGAAATATAAAGTTTACAATTTTAAAAAATCAATATAATGGTGCTATAAGTTAAAGAGTGCAAGACAAGTCCGCGAAACGGTAGATGGAACCATCGTTATTAATGTAAATATTCAAACAGTGAAAAATACGGGGTGTACAGTTCAAAAAGAATATTTGTTCTAAATGTCTTTTTTAGTGATGTTGATGAATGTTTTACAGTTACGTTATTGTTTTTTATGTTCTCTTTTCCACTGTGTCACGAAGTTGGGATCACATTTAGATGTGCTGTCGTGTCAAAATAAGTATCATTTTTGGTTGTTATTTTATGTTATTTTTATTTGTTTCTTTTGATCCACCAATGGAATTGGGACGTGGTAAACGAATATTAACATATCATGAAATTAACGCAAATCCATTGTTTTAATCATCGCAGACGATTCGTATAGCAATAGGCTCATACAGGCTCGTTCCATAATTCTGAAAAATTATTCAACGGAAATTTCCTCACCGTCAATATACGTTACACTCAATTTCCACGCTACATCCGGGTGAGTGATATTGTAAAAACATTCTGATCGGGTAGTTTATTTTAGTTGTAAATGACGTCTTGCGTGATAAAGTTAATTATCTGTAAGCTTGGACGATGGTAGTTCTTTCTAATAGATTACTACCAGATTATGTTAATGAAAAAAATCATAGAATTTTTCGCAATTTCCTGTTTGTGTCTCTTGCAATCATGTTATATCCTAAGTAGAAAGAAATGTCCCTTTTCGAACAAGACTTAATTAATTTGAAAGGTTCTGCTAAGTTATGCTCAATTTCTATGTATTACCAACATTCTAATTTGTATTTTAGATCATGACTTTATTCTAAATTTCTCGCTTGATCAGTTGTTCTTACCAGGAAAGTTCGCCATTTTGAAATATCATGTGGGACATTGGATCGGCTACGTGTATTTCATGCAGAACCATTACAAAATGGCAAAATAGAGTTAATTTTGAAAATACCAAAGAATTCCATATATAATTTCGAAACTTTCATTTTAGTTGGTGATATTGTGATAATTCATAATTCTTGGATGCACTTCATAGTATTTTGATGAATCAGTTAATCGAAATCGGAGAAAAGGGAGATTTAGATAGTGGCCGTGATTCATAATGATTCATAACTGAGACAAGGTAGGCCTACATAAGTTGATTCATCAACATCTCTATTTGATTCGTTTCTGATCTCCGAGTTTGTGTTTCCCTCTTTCTTGCAGTTCTTATACACGTACAAGAAGAATGTTCGCTCGTACCTAAGAGAATTTAAATGATTACTTCTTTTATTTAAATAATTTCTTGTCCCGTTTTGTAACTTTTTGTAATACACGACACCCGTGATAGTTTTCACTGAAAGTTTCCTGTAGAAAATGTAGAAAGTTAAAACAAAAAAAATTATGCAAAGAAAGTGAGATGTAAATAATTATGTTTAGTCAAGTGACTATCAGATGAAACGTTTCCATGGAAACAGGATTGTGGTGTATTCATGAATTAAGCGGAGAATATGAGGGTGTGAAATGATCTTGAAAAAAAATAGTTTGTGAGAAAAAAGTGATGAGCGTTTCTTGTTCATGTTTTTTACAAACGTATATCGACTCGTGACCTTTTTACTATATAATAAACGGTGGACTTTAAAATACGAGATTCTTGTTGAATATTGTCTTTCTTCCATTTATTGTCTACAACAATGTTCTTATCCTTCTATGTAGATCATTTCTTCAGTCAATCAATCATTTAGTCGGAAATTACAATTTTGATAACTGTTTTTCATCATGTATTTTTTAACGACTTATACTGATCAGAAGGGTTTGTGTAACATGACCCCATTGAGTAATTCGTCCATACTTACTCCGCTTTTGGGTGGAATTGAAGCAAATATGAAGTGTCCATGATAAAATTGAAAAACTTTTGAGAGATTGAGAGAGTCGACATTTTTTATTAGTATTGAACAGCTATTAGACAAAATTATTATTCGACAACAAAATGCTGTTATAGTGTAAGAGAGGTTACATAATACCAACATGGTCAAATTTAGGGACCCTGATAATGATGATGCAATAGAGAAGGAAAATAATAGTGGTGGTGGTGGTGTTGGTGGTGGTGGTGGTGGTGGTGGTGGTGGTGGTGGTGTAATGATGATGATGATGATATTGATGTGCTGATGATAATGATTGACGAGTGGGATAGCTGTGAGGTATGATAAAGTATGAGGGCAAGAAGACAGGGCAGGCAAAGAGCGTTACAGAAAGACGATGTGACCTGTTCCCAGACTCTCTCCTGAGCAGTGTCGTTGCTGATTTGCATGTACTTCTTCCAACTAGTAAGATTGGTGTCGTCCCTACACGAATGGGAAGGAAACAAATCGACGAATCCCGCCCTCACACAACCCACACACACACACACACACACACCCATATCGATCCCAATGCCCCTCAATAATTGAACCCACACAAATGCCATGGTGACCATGGTGATGATGATGATGGTGATGATGATGATGATAAGGGTGGTGATGATCATGAAATTGAGGAGGAGGTACGTGATGATGATGTTGATAATTATCATGGAATGGAAGAAGAAGAGGTCAAGATGATGATGATGATAATGATGATGATGCCCACGAGTGAATGGATGAATAAACGGAGAGCATCTCGGGTTCATTTCGTCACTGCACTTTTCCTCCTTCACTGCAAAAACAATACATCCATTTCGAGCAAAAAGGTCTTTGTTATTCCATTGTGCAAACGATAACACCAGATATAATAGATTCAGGCCGAGTCGCAAGTTCAAGGGCGAATTGGATGTACATCCTCAGGATAGGATAGTTTCCTATCCATCCGTCTGCTATTATTTCTTTCTCGGGTCTTTCTTCTTCTTAATTTTTACCAAGCCTTAAACTTTTGATTATACAAAAAGGAAAAAACTAAATGGCTGCATGAGAACGTTGACGATAATGAAACAATTATGAAACTAAGAGATTTTAATAAATACCTTCATTGTTCACCTTTATTCTAATTGGAATTTATTTTGGCCTCAAAATAGATATACGCCAATCAAGAAAGATTACAATTAATAGTGGCAAATAATAATAGTCCCCTCCCTTGTCCAAATTTCACGTAATAGCATGTCATGGAATAGACATTAACTAATATTGTAATCAGGTAATTATAAACTATGATGTATAGCTGCAGCAGGTGTTTATGTTTTAAATTAATTTTCTATCTTTCTCTTTCCCCTTCACCCTTCTCTCTCTCTCTCTCTCTCCCTCTCTCCCCTTCCCGTTATAGCTTTAAGAATAAGAGACACACTACTGCAACCTCACGGGAAATTTTGTTTATCTTTTTTTAATAATTACATTGACGAAAGTCATTATTAATTAAAAAAACTCAGTTATCATGTCATTTTTAGATGACATATATAATGAAAATCCGAACATGGTTAACACAATTTTGATTTCGATGTCCTTGGACTGAGGCCAGTGGATACTCTTCGGAGAGGATCGAAGCAAAATAATGACCTTTGACCTTGGAAAGCCTGGCTCGCATTTGGTCGTCACTCGTCACCAGTGAGGGCGTGTGTCTAGCGAAAGAGTCGCTTTGACGGTTGATGGTGGGGAACGCCAGGTAAACCTCGGCGAGGAAAGAGCGCGGTGCTTTGGGGAAAATGTTCCCTTTTTTTGTAATTCTGATGTTTGATGGTTCTGTTTCTTTCCATTTTGAATTAGAACAGGGTTAGGGGGAAAGGAATTTTCTCTCACCGAAAAAGTCAAGAGTCCAAACTAGTTATTAACAAATTACTTGGATTAAGAGGCGTCGCTAGATCTTTTCAAAAGAAGGAGGGGAATTTTCGGAGTTGATATATATTCCTATGTATTAATCTTTTAAAGTTTTCCCATCTTTCTAATGAGAGTTTCAGCCCCCTGACCGCCACATAGTGACGCCACCGTTTTTACTCTAATTTTATGATTCAAACATTCACATGCCCCCTACCGTCTCCTTCCGTCTCCGTCTCCCTCTCCCTCTCCCTCTCCTCTAGACTCTAGACTGCAATTATATTCTCCAATTGTAATCTTGTTTATATAATTGTTTATATATGTATTGTGAAACAAAATGTTCATGTATATGAATGAAGTTTACTAATAATATTCAATAAGAAAAATTCAAAATATGAAGGTAATAAATCATTCCCCCCCCCCCCCAAAAAAAAAAAAAAATAATAATAATAAATAAATAAATAAATAAATAAATAAATAAATAAATAAAAAATAAAAAATAAATAAATAATAAATAAATAAATAAACATTGCTTGTGATCAAAGCAAGTGAATGGAAATATTAACACTTGTGTTTGGTAACAGCTAAAGTTTGTACAATGTGACGTGGCAATAACACTACAATTTTTTTCAGTTCAAACACTAAAGGCGAGCTGCCGGCCACGTCGTACATTTCTGAATCAAATCCCATTTCAAATTATTTGGAATTCGTTCCTTTGCTACCTGAAATGATTAAATGTACTGTTCTTATTCAGAAACTTGTTTTTATCTGCATGAATGTTATAGCATGGCTCAGCTACAGCCCACAAGACTGACAAAATCATGTATGTCGGTCTAGCTAGCATACCTCCTGAATAGTTGTCAGAGACCGACAACCCAAGGGACCGACATGACCGTCTCTTGTACCCTCTGACAACTTCTGAGGGTTCAACGTCGTCGGTCTTGTGAGCTGTTGGTCTACTGGGATGTCCCGACGTAGCTCCAAATAGTTTAATCATTAAAACAAGTTACAATTTATGTTCAAACAGGGAAGAAAAACGTATTCATCCTTCTTCAATTAGCTGTTATATGTTAAACGACTATAGCCCTCTACCGAAGTCCACTCAAAACAAAACACATGATTGATTTAATAGGCCGTCTTTTGATAACATTCCGACATGAATCTGAATTCATCAAATTATTAAATTTTCACTGTTTACACATCATCATGATTGTCGCGGAGAGAGAAGCAGTAACAAAGTTTCACAATTAAAACGAATTTCCTACCACAAATAGCCATACGTCGGTTAAAAAACAAGTGTTTAAAAAAATCTCGTTTATGAAGCTACCTTTCATAATGTATTTTAATTATAGTGCTTTTGTGTCTAATTATTTTGCCTGAATACAATCAGTTCCTTGTTGTTGATTATGCAATGAATGCAATTATGAATGAATGTTTGTCAAATTACATACATATATATATATATATATATATATATATATATATATATGCAGTTCTTCCACACACACAACATTAAGCTGCGATTAGGAATCTAGAAGAAGAAAAAACATAAAGCTTTGTTCCAGTTTATGATCCTTTTATTTAATCTATGAGATTCGGTTATGCTGAGGAAAGCACAGAACTTTTCCCTTTTTCCTCAATGTTTACGCTGTGTTTAGTAAAATACGTCGCTTAAAGATAGCCCTCGTATAATCACATGCTTTTGTAAATGTTTATTCCGATTTCTAATTTATATACAAACCTATTCACTGGGACCTACATAATACAGGTACAAGCTTTGCTTTTTAGTAGATCCCCCACTTTATTTAACTTTTTAATGTATTTATCATACTTATAATTGTAACTTTTGTCATAACTACTACCATGTACATTATGTCTCTATAGTGTATGTTTTTAATTATAATTATTACCATGTACATTATGTTCAATTATGTTATTTTTGATAAAGGTGGAAATAAATGAAACTTGAAAACTTGAAACTATCCCAGGAGGGAAGAAACGACCATACGACATGTTCGACGTCATTTGAACATCGTTACAACGTTGAAATGTGGTTGATGCATCGTGTGAACGTCGTCGACAAGAATTCACCAACATTTCGATGTTAACTTTTAATAACTTTTCATAAATGTCGGCGTACCTGGGAATCTTAACATTGCTCCCAAACTATACCCAACTTAAATGTCTGTATAGCCACTTTAACATGTTTGTCATCGATTATACTTCCAACTGATTTGTATTGCCATTTACGGTTTGAATCCCATTAAAAAAAATGTTCTTGTGCCTCTTAGATGATATTTTGAATGCCGTTTTTCGGTTTTATTTTATTTGTTTCTTTCATAATTATACATATACAAATACTATATTTTGTTAATGGAGTTTGCCATTGACAGGCCTATGGCCTTTGCAAATCCCATCATATTTGAATTTGTTTCTTTTTTATGTTCGTTATTTTCTCATTTAATGTATATGTTATTGTCATTGTGATTGTTCTTTTTCTTCAAATGTGAAAATAAAATGATTTGAATTTAACTTAATATTTGGACGTCATTCTGGCGTTGCCCTCTCTCCATATTCTTAAGTTTATCTAGCAAGCATAGGATTAGTTCACGATGTATACTTGAAGTTCGACACTGCAACACCGCCATCATTACTAGTTTTGGGACAGCTACTTTTTTACTTTTTTTGGTGTGATGCTAAACTCTGATTGAAACGTCGTCGGCTAGACTTAATCTATATTGCAAAGTTGATTCAGTCATTCTTTCAGCTTTTTTGTGTATGCTATAAACTAGCGTTCGACGCCGCAATAGCTTGAGTTTACCTGTATTATATGTCCGTACGCAGTATCACTTTCAATCGACAATGTCTCG